TTGTAATTTTAATACACAGTTGTGTGGGTTCTCATCGTTATTACCGCTTATTAAATTATTATTTATCAGAAGGCCAAGTCGACGATTTTTCTAGGAATTTCCATGGAACTTTGTTTTGCGACGACTTTCCATTAAACTTTTCAAGTACATTAATTAAAACATCTCGCAGCGAATTGCCACACGTCGCCATGTGTGCCACTGCGCCATTCTGATTTCAAAGTAGCGCTGATGAAACGGTTACCATGGGTAACCAATATAACATAATCGGAACTGAATGCGCTCAACCGAATCTACAATTTTCATTTTGCATTCGTTTACAAGTGAACGGTGTTGCTCCCTAAATGTCTAATTGGGGATCGTTCGGCTGCAATTTTCTTTGAAAATCGCGTTTAATTCTCCCACCCCTGCTTCTTTCCGGCACAATATAACTCGACTTTTGAGAACTTACGTTTGTATGTATATATTCCCCTGAAAAATTTTCGTCTTCGATTTCACGCCTCCGACAATTTCGCGGGGTCGTAAATAGCAACTGAATAAACAAAACCGATAACAGACGCTGCTGCGGCCGTTTTAAAATGTCAAGTTAATCGCATACGATTGATCAAATGAAGCCAAACAACCTCCGGCACCTAATAAGAGCAATATTTCGAAAATATTAACAAATGACAGCAATCTTTTACTTGTATTTTCCAGTTTAATAATTGTTTAATAATTGTAAGTCCATATTTATTTGTAGAAACATCTCAATTCGGTGTCAGAAAATAAAAATAAAATTGTAACATTCAATTTTCGAAAAATTATTTTTTAAATTTTAATAAAAATAATCCACATATTCGGTGTGAAAACGCTCGCATCGAGGAGGCTGGGAGATTTCCGGCGTACCGCTTTGCGCGAATTATTCTGAATAAATAAAAAGGTAACACTTGAACGGAAAATATTTCCTCGAGCCCCCTTACGCCGCACGAATATAAAACGCCATCTTGTTCACCCGTCTAATATTATATCTTGATTACTTCACAGTTTTGTTGCTCATTAAAGGGCCTGTCTCAAAGCGCAAAGTGTTACATGGAAACGTCATTAAATGAGTTCCAGGGCTACGTTTAGGGGCGCCGACGGGTTGTTTCCAAAACGAAAAGAAAGGTTAAAAGGAAATCCGACAAGTAATAATATTCAAAAACAAACACTTTATATTTTCTTTGAGCCGAGATAGGCTATAAGGTTTCCACAGAAGGAAATTGGACTAGTAAATTGCACGGTGTCGATTCCGGCACACGGACGGTGCTACCGGGTAGCGAACAGGACCAGTCACCCCTTAAACATTATTGCGATGTAGATGTAGAAGAAAATATTCTTATAAGCAAACGTAAAATTAAAACCAAATAAAATTTCAAAATTCAAAACGAACAAACTGAAAAAAAAAACGTTTATCATAATAAAATTATCGATATGTTTAAGTCAAATTTTCAAGTTTTTTTTTTTATTTTCTGATTTTTTATTTTTTTTTATCATCGATATAAAGTAATTGATCATACAACAAACGGAAGGTGGGTTTTGGAATATTAAAGCAATCCTCCTCAAGGGCCTTTAGGTATGTTTAGGAAAAAAAAAATATACTCGGTATTGATTTGAAAAAGTACAAAAAAAATGTTTTTTTTTGCTGTTTTGGAAAATCAACGCCTACTTTGCAAATATTGCGAAAAGTACCAATGTCTGTAGGTTTTCTTTTAGCTCAATACATGCCCATGAGGCCTGTAAATTTTGAAATCGATCGGTAGAACCGTTTTCCGTTCACGAATCGTCAAAGTATTACAAAAAAAATTGAAGGAGCAGGTTTATTGCACCTTAAATATCATTTAAAGATGATTAGAATAAAAAAAAATTGTTTGCGTTATTTTCCTCAAAATTTCGCGTTAAATGCAAACCAAATTTCGTAAAAAAAATTCAAAATTTTGAAAAAAAAATCAAAATTTGTTTGCGTCAATTTTTTTACATTTTCATATTTGATAAGCAATCAATGTAAAATTGTGAAAGGATTAACGCAAAAAGTTTTGAAAAATTTGATTTATTTTCAAAATTTTAAATTTTTTGTCCAAAATGTTTTTCGATACTTGAGTAACAAAATTTTTTTGCGTTATTTTTCTCACAATTTCGCGTTAAATACTCGTCAAATATCGGAACATTTGTTAAGTAATCAATGTAAAATTGATAGAATAACGCAAACAAATTTTGAAAACTGAAAATATTTTTTCAAAATTTTGAATTTTTTGTCTAAAATATATATCTACCTATTTGTTTTATTCAATATATGAGGAACAAAATTTTTTGCGTTATTTTTCTCACAGTTTCGCATTATACTCGTGAAATGTCGAAAAAAAAATTTCAAAATTATGAAAAAAAAATCAATATTTTCTAAATTTTTTTGGGTAATTTTTTTTATATTTTCAGATTTGATAAGTAATCAATGTAATACTGATAAAGTTTAAGGCAAAAAAATTTTGAAAAATTTGATTTTTCTGCAAAATTTTGAATTTTTTGTCCATTAATTTTTTTTTGATACTCGAGTAAAAATTTTTTAGCGTTATTTTTCTCACAATTTCGCGTTAAATACTTGTCAAAAATCGAAAAAAAAATCCAAAATTTTGAAAAAAAAATAAAAATTTTCAAATTTTTTGCGTCATTATTTTACATTTTCACATTTGATAAGTAATCAATGTGAAATTAATAAAGATTAACGCAAAAAAATTGTTATAGATTTTTTTAAAAAAATTTTGAATTTTTTGTCCATAACTTTTTTTTTCGATACTTGAGGAACAAAATTATTTTGCGTTATTTTTCTCACAATTTCGCACTAAATAATCGTCAAATATTGAAAAAAAATTTCAAAACTATGAAAAAAAATCAAAAAATACTCGTTAAATATCGTAAAAAAAAATTCCAAATTTTGAAAAAAATCTAAATTTTCAAAATTTTATTTTGCGTTATTATTTAACATATTCACATTTGATAAGTAATCAATGTGAAATTAATAAAGATTAACGCTAAAAAAAATTTGAAAAATTTGATTTTGTATCAAAATTTTGAATTTTTTGTCCAGAATAATATTTTTTTTCGATGTTTGAGGAACAAAATAATTTTGCGTTATTTTTCTCACAATTTCGCACTAAGTAATCGTCAAATATCCAAATAAAAATTCAAAACTGAAAAAAAAAATTCCAAGAATTTTTGCGTATTTTTACATTTTCACATTTGATAAATAATTAATGTGAATTTGCGTTAAATAGTCGTCAAATATCGAAAAAAAAATTCAACATTTTGAAAAAGATCAAAATTTTCAAAATTTTTTTGTTATATTTTTGCATTTTCACATTTGCTATGTATTCAATGTGAAAAAAAATGTTGAAACATTTGATTTTGTTTGAGAAATGAGAAATAATCGTACAGAAAATAAAAAAAACGCAAATTGAAGCTGAGGAATCAGGCTGAGATTGATTAAGCCAGAAAAAAAAATTTCTGAGCACACGGGCAGTTTTAAAAAAAAAATTGTAAAATTTTGACTGCATTATTTCTTTTAATGGCGAGAAGAGTGATGCTAAAAACAAATTTTCCTCTCAAGATTTCAAAAGTAGAATCTGCTAGCTTCAAGATGCTTTTTTCATCTCGACCATTATTTACGAAGTTACACCCTTTCAAAATCACTAAAAAGTTTGGAAAATTTTCTGCTCTTTTAATTACACATATTGTTTTCTAAGTGTAGCAACAGTCGGTTCGATTTATCCTACAACCCGGCGCACAGGGTCACCCCTAAATCAAAATGATGTTTTTTTACCGATGATGCTAAAAGAATCACGTTTATTTAATTAAAATGTCACCACCAGACCGAATTGACGCAAACGATTCTTCTTTGTGATTACTTCCAAAAAAAAAGGCCCACTGGTAGAGTATAAAATTGTACAGTAAAAATGTTTTCATAATTTAGTGCATTTTAGGTTTATTTAATTAAAACATTACCAAAGGGTTGAAATTATATAAATTTTTCTTCTACCCGAGCACTCGTAAAAAGAGTCCATTGGGGTATGAAATTGTACGTTTGAAAGGGAGCTCATGCAGAAAAAAAAGGAATATTTTCATAATTTAACAAATATTTTCATGCTGTCACGTTACATTTCGTCCGAATGCTACTATTCGAGTATAAATACACCTTTGTGCTGGAAAAGATTTTGTATCCGGGAAAGCAAGGGTCAAGGAGGGAAAATCTATCAACTAATAAATATATCCATTTCCGTCAAACAATTTCTGTCGCGCTCATGTAACCCGACGTCTACCCGTACCGGCGGCTTACACAGGGAGAGGACGGCAAGCCGCATTGACAGATCTTGTTCCGCAAGGGGAAACAGAAGTTGAAGACAAATCTAGACACTTCAATGACAACGAACAACTTTAATTGAATACCAAACATTCCTGCCTCAACGTGGAATAGATTCCTGATATTTATTGAGTCTACCGACGCTAATCGAACAGATGGCGTAAAGCGAATGAAAACATTTTTGGTCATTTATTTGACAGCAGGCAGAAATCCCGATCCCCCAAGGGCCCCTCGATTATTCAACTAACAATAGAATTACGATCCGAAGATTCCTTGAGTGCGGAGGGCGCGGCTATTATTATTTACACATTCATTTTTCAATTTCGAAAACCACGAGTCGCCACTGAATTTTTTCCTGTAATTTCGTAAATAATTCGAACTGTTTCCCAGACATTTATTGTGCACGACAAGAAAAGTTTCCATGTTTACATTTTTTATTCCCGTTCTAGGAAACACTTAATTCTGCAGCAAAGCATCCTTAAAAACGCGACCGGCGAAATAAAAAATGTATACTACCAATTTTCTATTCTATTCAATTAGTGACGTAGATCAATAACTCTCATTGCCGTTGCGTGATTTATCTGTAGAGGTTTTTACCCCTGACTACGTTTACCATTTACCGATATTGATATTCCAGTTGCCGTACGTAATAGCAGTGAAGTATGGACACGGAGGAAGAGGAGCCCTTCACCCCCCTGAGATGAATATTTCATCGACTGGTGTGATACCGACATATGTGCAGACATTCAGGTTTGTACGCCACTAACTTCATCCCATCCAATGACTGCGAATAATTATATCCTCAGATGTATCATTTGCATGCATAAAATAAACGTTGGAGTAAACTTTTTCTTTAAAACGTATTTTAACAATTATATAAAAACGTTTAAATTTCAAAACGTTAACAGTAACAATTATAGAAAAAACGTTATATAATGTCCTATGTTTAATTACAGTCTTAACTGTATCAATTGTATGCATTGCGTAAACGATGCACTGAATGTGCAACTTAAAACGTTTAAATTTCAACGTTTTAACAATTTATAATTATAGAAAAAACGTTCCACGTGTAGTTACATCCAGAACTATATGAAATAACTGGTATTAAGTAAATGATGCACTAAATGTTTCTTTAAATAGCTTAAATTTAAACGTGTCAATAAAAACGTCAATGAAGACGTTTAAATTTCAACGTGTTAACAATTTATAATTATAGAAATAACGTTGTACGTGTAGTTAAATTCAAAACTGTATGAACAAATTTGTATTAAGTAAATGATGCACTAAATGTTTCTTTAAATTGCTTAAATTTAAACTTGTCAATAGAAACGTTGAAATTGAAATGTATCAATAGTTAAGAATTATATAAACATATCTTACGTTTAATCACATCCTTAACTATATGAATTATATGTATTACGTAAACGTTGCCCTGAGTATCTCATTTAAAACGTTTAAATTTCCATGTGTTGAAGGTTAAGCGATCTACGTTTAATTACATCCTTAACTATGTGAATTATTTGTATTTCGTAAAGGTTGCACAAAGTGTTTCTTTAAACTTAATCGTGTCAATAAACCGTTTAAAGTACAATGTATCAATAGTTAAAAATTAAACAAAAATATCCTAGGTTTAATTACATCCTTAACTGTGTGAGTTATATGTTTGTAAACGTTGGATCAAACGTCCTCTTTAAAAGGTTTAAACGTGTTACAGTTAACAATTATAGAAAAAAATCTACGTTTGATTACATCCTTAAATGTATGAATTATTTGCATCAAAGCAAACGTTTCAGTAAATGTATTCAATAAACGTTGAAATTCCAAGGTATTTGTTGTGTTAACAATTTATAATTATAGAAAAAACGTTCTACTTAATCTAGAACTGTAATTCTATGAGTAAATGTTACACTAAATGTTTCTTTAAATTGCTTAAATTTAAACGTTTCAATAAGAACGTTTAAATTACAATGTATCAATGATTATACAAACATATCCTACGTTTAATCACATCCTCAACTATATGAATTAAATGTATTACGTAAACGTTGCCCTGGGTATCTTATTTAAAACGTTCAAATTTCAATGTGTTAAAAGTTAAGGGATCTATGTATAATTACCTCCTTAACAGCGTGAATTATTTGTATTTCGTAAAAGTTGCACAAAGTGTTACGTTAAACTTTAAAATGTCAATAAAACGTTTAAATTACAATGTATCAATAGAGTTAACAATTATACAAAAATGTACTACGTTTAATTAGATCCTTAGCTGTGTGAGTTGTGTTTGTAAACGTTGCATTAAGCGTCCTCTTTAAAACGTTTAAACGTGTTACAGTTAACAAGTATAGAAAACATTCCACGTTTAATTACATCCTTAAATGTATGAATCATTTGCATTAAAACAAACGTTTCACTAAATGTTTTCAATAAACGTTTACATTCCAACGTATTTGTTACAAAAAACGTTTAAATATCAATGTTAATAATTAAAAATTATATAAAAAACGTACAAATTTAAACGTACTGCATAATAAAGAGTGTTAAAGTGCAATATATTCAAAAGTCTACCATCAGTGAAATACGCCTTCAATTATTCTGTTTAAATTGTATTTCGACTATAAAAAACAATCTACGTTCAATTGCATTAAATAAACGTTTAAATTACAACATGTTAATAATGATGCAAAAAACGTTGAAATTTAAACGTACTGCAGAACAGTGTTTAAAGTGCAATATGTTCAATCGTCTACCGCTCAATGAGGAGCGTCTAAGTCATTGTGTGCATGTGACTCCTGAATAGACAGTAGCTGTCAATGAAAATTATTTATTACCGATTTCGGTATCGATTAATTGAAAAACTGAAATATGCCTCCTATTGTTCAGCTTAAATTGTGTAAACAGCATAGTTTTCATAAACGCTGAATCACATATGGTAGAATACAAACCGAACAATAGATATAATGATACAGAAGGCATGAAATTGTGAAGTAGATAACAATGGTTTCAAAATATATTTTTTTTGTATTTACTTGTTATTACCTACGTTACAAAATTATCACTAATTTAGACATATCGCCGTCGTAACTAACATATGAGACGCTACCTAACTTTATATTAAAAAAAAAAACAATATGTTTCCTCTTTGTGTGGGAGGCAATAAAAGTGTTTGTGTTTTCCAGCATAAAACTGATGTGTACGGGTCTGAAAAATGCCGAAATCAAAGTGGAGATTCATCTACATGTCAGCACGCACAAACACAGGAATGCTACTATGTTGAAATTTAGGAGGAACAAGATATGTCTTAAAGGTAACTGTCCGCTTCCCTTGAATTATTAAAATATTTTATTACTTCCACCGTAGCGACCGACAATGTGAACATAAAAGTATGCGACACTGGTAACTATAAAACGTATACTTGTGAGTAAAATATTTAAATGTAGTCACTAGAAAATACAATCCAACTTTTTTTCGATTAGATTAGATAACTTTTCCATTACAGCGAGATGATAATTTCAAAAGCGATGTACTACAGAGTGTTTTGTTGTTCCGGCCCGTGATATTTCGTACATTTTAAACGTGACCCATGTTTTCTGAAATGAAGCTAAATACAGTCGGCGTGTGAATAAGTGATAATGCAAGAACCAGCTCCATTACTTTTACAACCTTGTAAAAGTTTTATATAAAAATATATAATTCAAGTACCCTGCTAAGGGCACATTAGAGAAGTTATAAAATAATACCGACATCCTATAAAAACCAGCTTTACTGCAAATTGATGCTGAAGGGGGTTTCCACCTAATTTTATACGTCATACCGAATACAATCGATATCATATTTAATGTTTGTGTAAAACCACCCCTTAGCGGAACTTCTTCATATTGCCCAGACTAATCGGGTAGTTGGGGTGACGAAAATTAATTGAAAACATTAATGTGCTCGGCGGTAACACGCCTATTAAAGTTATACTTGACTTGTATTACACCGAAATGATAGGGCGGTTCATTAAATACATCAGACCAGGCCAACAACAGTTTATTGAAATCAAATAGTTTATTTGTTTAGTTGAAATAAACCATTTATTTATTACAACCAAAAGGTTCTATTAATTTATTAAAAATAACAAAATAACAATTTGATTTCTTTTAATAAACAGGGAAACTGAATAAATCAGACGCATGTCAGTATATTGCAATCAAATGGTTTATTTGATTAGTTCAAATAAACCATTTATTTATTACAACCAAATACAAGGTTGTAAGTAATAAATTAACGTTAGCAGTTAATAAATCTTGTATAATTAAATTTATAATAAGACTTGGATTTATTTAAAATTACGACAATAAGAAATTGATTTGGTTTCGTTTAACAAATGGTTTATTTACTACAATCAAACGCAAGGTCCTTACTAAATATATTAATACTGGAAATTAATATATGTTGTATAGTTGAATTTACAATAAGGCAGCTGCGTTGGCAATTTTGATTTATTAAGCCTCATCAGCGCAGTATTGCATGGAGGATGTGTATTTAAAGTGTCGCCCGACTTCATTGAATTTTTAGTTTTCTGGGAATAAGTTCGGCATGTGTGCGAGACTGGGTAAATCAGTTGTGTCGCTCTTCACTCCAAACCTTGCGAGTCCAAGGCCCTACGTCGCGGTAAAATATAAAACATCACAGGGAAATGCCATCGGTGCAGTCCCTAACCAGGCGGATCCAGTCGAAATTGTGGAGGGTGGTTAATCCCCCCCCCCCCTCCCGCGCTACAAAGAAATTTCTTTTCAGCCTCTCATGTTACGTACCGCGATGTTAAAGTTGAAATTTATTCTATACTTTTGAACAGCACATTTAATGGAGATTTAGGGCCAACTAAACACTACTTAGAAGAATTTGTTATTCAGATTCGGAGGTGCGCGCAAAAAAAGCTGGAACGCATTAGGTAAGGCCCCGCGTCTCAGCAAAAAAAAAGCGTAAGCGGGCAAGGATTTTAACAGATGTGTACGATAAATGGGAACGGGAGGGTAGAATTTCATGAGGAATTTTCAATGTCCGTATACTTTAGAGCAGATATTTTCCACAAAGCTAAAATAAACCAACCATGATTATTAGTTGATAGCAAAACCTCAGCACGTCTGGATCAAGGTTAAATGAAGGTCAAATTTCGGTTTTTGAATGATATAACAGAATCAAGGTCAATTAGAGGTCAGATTGAGAAAAAGTGCATAAAATTAAAGGATCTCGGAGTTTAGGTTTTTTTTGGGTCGCTGAGTCCGAACCGAAGGTTAGTTTGTCTGTATCAGGCCATTTTAAGGTTGTTTCAAGGTCATTGACGGTCAAATTGAGAAAAAGCCGAGCAATCAAGTCCAACCACCTGGTATACAGGATTTTGGGGTCGCTGGGTTAGAATCCGCGGTTAGTTTGTCTGTATCAGGTCACTTAAAGGTCGTCTAAAGGTCATTTCAAGGTCAAATTGAAAAAACCGAGCAATTAACTTTGACCGCCTGTTATATAGGTTTTTGAGATAACTGAGTTCGAATCCTTGGTCAATTTGTCTGCATCAGTTCATTTGAGGGTTACTTCAAGGTCATTTAAAGGTCATACCAAGAAAAAAGTCAATAAATCGATTACCGTTTTTGAAGTCTCTAAGTTTGAATCCAAGGTCCGTTTATATGTTTATCGGTCGATAGCCGCACGGCTTAAGGCGTCAGTACTTAAATCGATGTGTCGAACTGCCCGGGTTTCGAATCCCGCGGCCGGTGACCGTAAATTAACTATACCTGTACGGAGGATTGGCGCTCTCTGTGCAGGTATGGTAGGGTGGAAGAATGTTGGCTTGGGTCAATGTGAGAGATTGACACCGGTTGGCATTTGACCACCCCCCTAATTAATGAGGTTTTCCAGGTTTCCCTCATTCCTGCACTGAATGGTGGTTAGGGCCTACCAACATAAGTCGTTCCTGGGCGCAAATGCGGCCTGCGTAATAATAATATGCCGCCTCCTCTCCCGCACAAGTCTCCGACTTCTGGGCTAATTCTCGTAATTAGAATGAGGAGTAGAGATATCATTATTATTATTATTATGTATCAAATCAGGTTTAAGGTCATTCCAAGGTTGATTTGAGAAAAAAGACGTTTTCTGGTAGGATTAGTGAGGGGTGATTTTGAACCTCCCTGTATTTCACCGAATCTTGGAATCTAGAAACTGAACTGACCATATTAACTTCTTAAAAACTCCTCATACTTCCTCATACTAACCCATATTACCTCGAATCAACCCATATTCCCCCATAAAACGCTGTATTTTCTTATGCTAATCCATTCTACTCTATAACCATTTTACCATATACACGCATATTACTCCTTATAAACAAATATACCCTCATGCCTCCTGTATAACATGTGGTCGGACTTGATTGCTTGGCTTTTTCTCAATTTGACCTTGAAACGACCTTGAAACAACCTTAAACTGGCCTGATACAGACAAACTAACCTCCGATTCGGACTCTGCGACACAAAAAAACTAAACTACCAGATCCTTTGATTTAATGCACTTTTTCTCAATCTGACCTCTAATTGACCTTGATCCTGACTAGGAAGGAGGGGGGGGGGGGAATATAAATAAAAATAAATTTGTTTCTTTAGCAAAAAATGAAGGGGGCGGAAAATCGGCCTAATTGACCCTCCAGCATTGTGTTGACCTGTTGGTGATTATCTGGAGGTCATCTAAAGGTCGAATCTGAGATTTGAATCTACCGGCTGAAATTTCCGCTTCGAAACGAGACGTCGGGATCTCGAACTAGTTGACCTCTACGTTTTTTGGGCCGCTGATCACGGATCCAATGTCCACGTGACCCCAGCGCGTCTAGATCAAGGTCAAATAAAGGTCACTTTCACCAACGGGTCAACATGTACTTGGACGTAAAATTTCCCGCTCTTTCGGAATCCTGGGTCAAAAAAGTTATATCATTAAAAAAAAACGAAATTTGACCTTCATTTGACCTTGATTCAGACCCGCTGGGGCCACGTGAACATCGGTTACGATTAGTCTAAATGCTGAAAGAACAACTGCCTAAACTGGGACTAGACTTAAAATATTTGGAAGAGTGCTTTTAAAAATATGGATACGATCCCTTTCGTTACTGACACAACTTTTTAATTTATAAAGGCAGAACAAAAGAATTTTATACGGCACGGCGTCCAATTACGGAATACTTTATCCGAGTTTTGCGGAGTTATGTGTCGGAATTAATATTTAAATATCTATATATTTCGCATAAATCTGGCGTCAATTAAATTGCGATTTGGAGGCAAAAATATATAAACGGATTTTATACAATGGCCGGGCGTTTAATTTCGGAAGATTCTGTATTTAATATCCGGTGAAACGCGGTTCGGTGGACGAGAGTATAAATAGATTCCATACGGAACGTAATCAAGTAATGAAAATCAATTAATTCAGCGATCACAATTAAAATCCAAACCCCACAGGCCCAAATAAATCACTGGCGGCGACACGGTGCAGGTATTTTTCCGCAAAATTGTAAATTGGACAGCGAATACGATTACGCCGGGAACATTGTCATGACGTAGTGGCGCGTAGGGAACAATAATGTCGGCGACGTTATCATTTTATTTAGTTGACTGCGGAACAAATCCGATCTGACGGCAACAAGTGTTTTAACACGGCAAAAGGGGTGGGCATGTGCGTGAGAATGAGAATTACAAATAGGAAATGCAACCACTCCCGCACCCCCCTTACCGGCGGGCTCCGCTAATTGAGAAAACTACTTCGGCCCGAGTGTTTACTCAAAGAAAGGAAAATATAGGGCATAAACTGCCATTTTTTTATTCATCGTCAGCGCCCACGTTGATGGGAACTTCAAATTATTCATCCACACACTTAGATCTTCAAATGTGTTTTTCTCTTCTAAAAAATATTGAAATTGGCCTTTACACCCTTATTGTATTAGATTAGTTAGTTTTGGTTCTGTCACATATGCAGAAGTGTTAAGTTGAAGAATGCGCGCGCAGGCAAACGGCGCACAAACATAGCCGCACTGGGCGATTGGGCCATAAATTTCAGTTGTTTACAAATTACCTAGCAGTGCAATGCAGCAATGCGAAATATTATTACAACATGGCATTTTGGAGACCTTTTGAAATGGAACAGAACGAAATTTACCATCAATATAATAAAATGGTTTGAGGTCATAAATAATTAAAATATGTTGTTGTTAAAATGAACATATAAGAAATTTTGTGTAAATTTTTTTACATGCGCGTTGTTTTTTAAGTTCCGGGAAAGCGATGTTTATTCAGGGTAATCCGCCGCTACTGTTCTCATGTGGGATATACGCCGGTAACGATGTGTATATTTAAGTGACGTAAGTTCCTTCCGAATTACAGCAACTTGTTTTCCCGTTCCTGGTTTACTTTTTCGGCCCAATATATTGTTTTAATATCCGTTCCCGGCGTCTCCGCTTTTCCTATTAGGCCGCACAATAAAAAAGACCCGCCTAAAACATCGCCTAAATGCCGTTTAATGAGGGGTTGGGATATTAAAATTTATACTGGCATTTAAATCCGTGTCTCGAGATTGTAAAAGCATAATTACAAGGTACATTCGCCCGGAATTACAAAACATTTTATCCGCCGCCCCCTTGTACGGGCTTTTTCTATATTCGAATATCATCTCAGGTGTCACGATGAAACGTTCCATAAAACTGCCTTTTAAAAAGGTCGGAATGAAATTATTCCAATGCGTACCTAATCCCAGCACAAATTCTTGCTTCGGAGAATTTTATTGCTTTATCGAAGATGCCAGCGAATCTTTTAAGCAAGAAAATCCGCTTTGTTACACGGGAATTCTGCTCAAAATTACGTTTTCTATGTCTTGTTTTAAAATGACCCATAATTCGAATCTACTGCTAAATAATTATACTAAAAGTATTGACGCTGATTGGAAATAGTTGTGTAAGGTAATTTCGATCACAGGCAGCGTGGCCGAGCGGTCTAAGGCGCTGGTTTTAGGCACCAGTCCGAAAGGGCGTGGGTTCGAATCCCACCGCTGTCATGTTTTTTTTTTTAATAAATACCAGAAGTATTTTCCGTAACAAGTGGGGGAAGCTAGAAGTATAATTCACTGATACATTTCCTCTCGAACGTAAAGAATTTTATCTGTAAGTTGACAGACTTTATCGTCATCATATTCTTAAAGATCCTTCACTCCTCTACAGCACTTAATCAATTAAGAACCGAGGCGATTCTTCCATTTGTTTCGGTTCAAAAAGGGCCCGCTATTGCATAATCTTATAGGAGCCGGCTGACTAGAAAATCAAGAGTACCCGGTAGTTCGGGCGCTCAATCAATCTGTTGCTATGAAACAGTGACGCGAGCGCCCGGCAAACCTTAAAAATACCTAATAATTTTCCACCGGAAAACGAAGACGTACATTTTAATTTACCAGACACGATTTGTTCTCAGGTATTGGCAATTCCCGGAACGACTCCATCCGTTTAGAGTCCGGGTCCTTCGGTGCCGCCACCGGATCCCTGTACGTGGCGGTAGCCTGTGCGCTGGCCATGATTACTTTGGTTGTTGTTACGACGTCGGCTGTTTGTATAAAGAAGAAGGCCAGGGCCCAAGAACCCACGTAAGTATATTTACGTCCTGTGTGCAGTGAATTATGAAGCAATTGCACTTACAATGGCTGGAAAATTGAATTTATTACAGTTCCTTTTCTATTTCTACGAAAAATCCGTTAATAAAAAAAAACTTGCGCAATCAGCAACTTACCGCTGCCTTCAAAACCGGCCTAAACAATCTTAGCTTAAAAAAAAGAAAGCTGCACTTTTTGATTTCATTTTGCCATGATCTCGTGTGGTCCGGGGCTATAGGCCCCGTAGCCCTCCTCCATAACCGGAGCCTGCAAATACATTAGCGACAAAAGGCCAGAGCCGCCTTTGAAATTTGTTTTAAATTCGTACCGCCCTTTTTGTTCGTGTTGCAGGAATGCGTTTCGCAAAAACATTGAAATAAAAAGCTCTAAGCTGAATAATGAAATCAAATTAAGTGTTATTTTATGAAACTCTACGAGATTTTAAAGGGATTTAAACAATCCACTCGGCTCGCTGTTTTTACCAGGCGACGTAATTAAATTATTTTTGTCCCTGCTTCAAATATTTATATATATAAAATATATATAAACATGAGTATGATGCACTATTACGCATCCAGTAATTTACAAACAATTAATTTCATATTTTCATATGCCTGTAAAAGAACTGAACCGTTTTATTTGGTTCATGACAAAAAATGACGCGGAACGAATACACATACGATAAATCCATTTACAAAATACTCGTAAATCATAATATTCATACACATTTACATAGGGCGAATCTTAAACGTGTACCTACAGCAGAATTCGCCGCTACAGGGCATCAAAGTTGACAAAACATTTTTTTATCAAATGACTGAAACGCCTTGTATTGTTTTATTAAAATTTGGCACGCTAGGACTTCCTTATAGATGTCACTTTATCACATGGTAAACGAAACAACAGCTACCAGGCAATTTTTTAGCATTTGACCTTGAACTGACCTTCTCGAGGCCACGAAAACAACTTAAAAATATATTTTCGGGCATTAAATTTCCCGCTCTTTCCGATTCCGTTGTGAAAAATAGGGGTTCCTATTTAAAACACACTCCGACCTACAAATGACCTTGAAATGAATCTCAAGGTCAGAGCTAGTTGTACAGCTAGGTGACCCCCATTGTCCTGAACCATTTTTCCGCATCTCGCTTAGGTACGGAGAAATTTAGATACATAGATTAAAATGGCCCACCCTGTATATACAGCTTTGGGTCAATTAATTTTGCTATTAGATCATAATTAATGCATTTTCGATTCAAGCTTGGGATATTACGTCATTTTAAAAGTAATTTATTTGATAACAGAAATAGCCTGTAACGGACTATTCTCAGATTTGACCTTGACAACCTTGACATTCAGTTTCAAAGTCAAGCCAAGATCAAGTTGAACATATTAAATAAAACACCCTATTTTTTATGTCAGCAGTCCATAGAGAAATTGTTTCAAGCAAAATTCGTAGGATTTTGAATGACAAACTAGATAGTGACCTTGGTTTGACTTAACTGATTAGAATCGGTCTCCAAAACGAAAATTATTGTCAAAATCATACTATTTTAGTTTAATAAATATATTTTTCACCTTTCTTTTTCCTTCCTAAATTTTCGTAACGGAAAATATAACTTTGCTCCTGTAACCATATACTTATTAATTTGTAATAAATAAATGGTTTATTAGAACGTAATAAATCGTTTGTTTACATATTATAGACTGGAATTTGTTTGTTTTTCTGTATCTACAGGCGTACACGGTTATTATGCGACCAGCAGGAATTAGAGAAACGTCCCATCTACAACCGCAAAAAGTTGCTAATCCTTTTCGTAAAGTGGCAAATGAACTTTCCACTCTATTTTAAATTTCGGCGGTGATTACAATTCCATGCAGGCTCGGCTTATCTATAAAGTTATGCCGAAGTTAAACTCAAACAGCTCTTAAATCAAAATGTCAGACCGCTTAAACACTTTGTTGATGGATTCCTTAGGTATTAAAACTACTTTGCGATATCTTTCCCATGGAGTATTATATCTTTAATACAGATTGGGGATTTGTTTCTCTTGCGGAAATGGATTGTCGCTGTTTTATATACGGTTCAAGTCGAGATTATAAGGTGGAGTGAAAACGGCTCGAGAACAATAACTATTATTCTGCTACTTACCGTTTATATTCTCCAACTACTTTCTATACTTTGTAATACAATAAATTTGCACAAAATAGTGTATTTGAGTAGTGGATCGATAACAATATTCTACCCAGCAACAGTTGGAAAACTTATATTTTCAACTACTTTTTCCATACGCCTGAAGAAAATGTTACTTTTATATTATGACTGTCTTATTTTGTCTATAGATCTGTTAAGTTAATAATGTCGTTTTCCATTTTTTTTTATTAAAACATTTGCAAAATATATTTCATTTTAATATATTTGACCTTGACATTAAGTTTCAAGGTCAAACCAAGATCAACTTGAAAATTTTAAATAAAACACTCTATTTTATGTCAGCAGTCAATAGAATATGACAATGGGTTCAGATTTTGTTCCCTTTATGTCTTTGCAGGTCATTTGAAGGTCAAGCCCATTTTTCCCTGAATAGCTCGACAAAATTGTTTCAAGCAGAATTCGTATGACTCTGATTGACAAATTAGATAGTGACCAATGAGATATCATGACACGATTATGCTGGTGAGCTTGGATTTCACCTTGACATTAAGTTTCAAGGTCAAATCAAGGCCATCTTGAGAATAATAATAAAACCCAATATTTTATGTGAGCAAGCAATAGAGCGCCAGCTTTTACATGAAAATATAGGTTTCGAAAATTTTTCCTATATGTTTTTGCAGGTCAATCAGAGGTCAAACGCATTTTTCTCTGAATAGCTCGACAAAATTGTTTAGTTGAGTAATTCTATTAAATTCTATTACTTTTATATCAATTATCTTTTGTGTAAACTGAGTTTGACCTTCAAATGACCTGCAAGATCTCTGATCCCAAATTCCGACTTAAAATCTGATACTGGCACAATGGCTGGCATAAAAAATAGCAATAGCAATTGATATTAAATTAACCTTAGTTTGACCTTGAAACTTGTGGTGAAGGTCAACGAGTTATTAAGAGAAAAATTAATTTGACCTTCAAATGGGCATCAAATATACGGTGTCTATTTAATATTTTCAAATGACCTTGGTATGACCTTGAACCTTAAGGCCAATGCCAAATCCATCCTTGATGTCTTACAAACTTTGATCCAAAACTTTTTGTGATATGGCTCAATCCCGAAACGCCCTGTATAAAATAACGATCTAAAGTTACGTCCACACTACGCACTGTTCGTTAATAGTGCAGATTAACATCTTAGCAGTGCCGAACGAAGTCTTAGGAACCCAATTACACTTCAAGTCCATCTTACAGGACTTGAAGGAATTTGAATTAGTTCCACCCCTAGGAGAAAAATCCGTATCTAAACTAAGTCGCCCTCTTCCAGCTACATGACGGCGCTGTACGACAGCAACCCCCACATGTTCCTGCGATCGGCTTTGGGAAGACCACCGAGTGCCGAGAGTGGAAGCTATGCAACGATTGCCAGCGTCCACAAGGGCCCACCCTCGCCATCGCCATATGCGACCAGCGACGCGTGCCAATTTTACGCCACCAGTGACGCATGCAGAGTGTCGTATTATGCGTCATCACAAATCATGTTAATCTCTCAGGTTCGTATGAAGTGCCAGGAATAACCTCAATTTTGTATGGGTACGGGCGGCCTGTAAGCCTGCATGCGCATGAAGGCCCCTTTGCACGTACTTCAATGTTAAACTAAATAAACGCCCAGTTATCTAAGCTGAAAATCACCATAAAGCATTTTCTTTCTGAGATTGCCATATTCTTCTTACATTTTACACTTAAACTGAGCGGTGTAAATTCACATTAATTTACTTCAAATATTGTGAAAATACTACCTATATATTACAGAAATAATTGTGGTTACACAAGCCGCTTTGACGTGAAAATTTACAAAAGTTATACTTTTCTGTAAATTTCGTGTAAATTTCTTGTAATTTTACACTTAGAACAATGTAAAAGTACAAGGAATCATCTTCCCAATGTGTAAATTAGAAACGTGATTATAAAAACAAATTCGATTGAACTGAAAATTTACAGAGCATATATATTTTTTTGTAAATTTAATGTAATTTCTTTGTAACTTTACACCGAACTACCGAGATGCTGCAGAATTACAAGAAGTCGCCTAAGATTATAGAAACATAATTACATTCAATTGGAATTTACAGAATACTTTTCGGTAAGTTTAATGAAATTTCATTGTAATTTTACACTGGCGACTGCTGTTAAATTGAAAATATTCATCTTCTAAATGTATAAAATTATAAATATGATTATAGAATTATAAATTCTAATGAATTGAAAATTTACAGGGAATACAAATTTTTCTGCATGTTTAATGTAATTTCCTTGTAATTTTACACTGACCACTGCTGTGAAATTGCAATCAGTCATCTTCTCAATGTACAAAATTATAAATATGATTATAGAATTATAAATTCTAATGAATTGAAAATTTACAGATAATATAAATTTCTGTGCATGTTCAATGTAATTTCCTTGTAATTTTATTTCACACTGACAAAGGGTGTTAAATTACAACAAGCCCCTTCTCTTTGCGAATAAATTATAAATGTCATTAATTAAACATAAATTTCATTAAGTAGAAAAATTTACAGAGAATATACATTTTCCTTAATTTGATTTCATTGTATTTTTAACCAATAACAGCTGAAAAATTACAAGAGTACAGCCTCACTATGAAATAATATACTACTAACATTTAATTACTTTCAATTGAAAATTTACAGGGAATACGAATTTTTCTGCATGTTTAATGTAATTTCCTTGTAATTTTACACTGACAAAGAGTGTTAAATTACAAGAAGCCCCTTCTCTTTGCGAATGTAATAAATGTCATTAATGAAACATAAATTTCATTAAATAGAAAATTTACAGAGAATATACATTTTCCTTAATTTGATATCCTCTATAATTTTAAACCAACAGCTGAAAAATTACAAGAGTACAGCCGCACTATGAAATAATACTACTAACATGTAATTACTTTCAATTGAAAATTTTCAGAGGAATACTTTTCGGTAAGTTTCATGTAATTTTACACTGACAATTGTTGTTAAATTAAGAGAGGCTACCTTCTATGTGAGTAAATTACGAATGTGATTGTAGAAACATAAATTCCATTAAATGTAAAATTTACAAAGAATGCACACTTTTCTGAAAATTTAATTTCATCTGTAACTAAAAATAGACAAGAATATCTTCTCTCTGTGGAAATTGTACTAACATTTAATTTTAATTGAAAATTTTAAGAGGGATGCCTTTTGGTAAGTTTAATGTAATTTCTCTGTAATTTTACATTGACGGCTTCTGTGAAATTGCAAGAGGTGAAAATCTCAGTGTGTAAATTACAGTAAGGTTTAAGTTTACACGTGCTTTTGTTTAGTTATATTTCTTAAAAAATGTATTATTTCACTGATTAAAACACAAAATCGTTGCCAAGACCAAGTTATTTAAACATTACGCATCTAATCTCTAATTAAAAATGGCGAATGCGCCAATGGTAATGTATTTCTTGTTTTAGGAGTTGATTCAATTTGTTTGAATGTTATTGGGGCTTCACAATCTCATTATATTTATTATTCAGTAAATACGAGTACGTTTTCTTGTTCGTTTATAATTACGTTCGTTTTTATAAAAGTGCTTTCTTTGTGACACCGTGTATAATGAGATTTATGAGCTCGTAATTATATCTGGAAAACCCCCTTTGTAGCCCGGTCTATAAGGCATCAGAGGGAAAAGATGAAGCAACCGGGTACGCTATGAATTTTTATAACAATTTCACTTTTCATTTAGAAGGCGTATAATTTATATATACGTATATATATATTTCGTGGCTCTTCTCTCCCCTTTTCAGCCTCAGGCGTCCCGTTGATGCCTTTGCACAGAATAAAGAATTATGCGAGAGATGTTTTCATCAATGCCGCAACGCAAATACACCTTTAAATGTAAATGAAAAGCGGATTCCGGAACCGCAGCGTGTCCCGAATGGCGCAGCAAACTTTTTGGGTTCCGGTTTAAACAAATTGACGGAAATGTAACACGTGTACGTATTTAAGACAAATTTAATAGCGTTATTAGCTTTTTTCTCCAAGTATATTAAAAGCAAATACATTTTTAGTACCCACAACCTTACGTTTAGTTGTAATAAATATACTCTTTATTTATTACAACAAAGTATGCCCCCTGTATGAAGCAAATGTAATTGAACTCTCCGAATGTATACAATATAATTTCAAGTGCGAAGTTCAGAGATTAGAGCTGAACAATCGGTTCGATTCGATTTATTAATGCTCTTAATGTGGAGGCCTATTAATGCTGGCGGCCCTAAATATTATCTGGTACTGCGGCGGTTGATTGATTTCACACAAATCTGGGGGGTGCTCTTATGTGAAAAACAGATAAGCCAGAGGAACGTCGGAGAAGGGAAATTCAATGTCTAAAGTAAATAGTATTGCCTGAATTCTCAGGGGATTAACATGGCACTCGGCTTAGTCATGGAGATAGAGCAATCAGGACGGCGCGGCTACTAGTAAGTAGCGAGCTTTTCTAAGATTACCTTAATTACATTAATGGACGGTCTGGTGATCAGAAAAAATATTGTCTACGGATATTAATAACGCGATTATATTATTTTCCAAGTTGCACTCAAGTACATACATACTCCATTGTTTGTAGTAGGATTAAATACCTACGCAATTTGTTGCTTAAATTCCACTAAAATATTTTATGCTGCGGATAATTTCACACTTCACAAATTGTAGCGGGAATTTTTTTTTCTACGGTTTCGATTTATTAAAATTGTTTTGGAAATTACACTTTCTGTTACAGTTTCAATGATCAAGATTGTGGAAGAATTATACATCTATTATTATTACATTGTTGATTAATTACAACTTTGCTTGATTGTTTAAAATCAATTAAAATATTTTAATGGATTTTATATAAAAAATTAGTACATGATAGTTTTTAATTAAATTTTAACTTACGTATATAATCAGATACTTCCAGTATGCTAGAAAATGAATAAAATTAAATGTCTTGCTAGTTTTGATGATTAAAATTGTAGTAGATGCGGATATTTTATTAGTTTCGATAACACAGCCACACAAAAAAAAAGATGTCTGTACTTTTCATGCGACATATGTTATCCGTAGTACTTTTGCCTCCTGGTCACGAATCCGGTGTCAGAATTGAGCTATCACATCACAGGAATTTCCTAACCTCTAAAAACAGGTAAAAAATAGCAAAAATTCACGAAAAAGTGCTAGGAAAAATACAACAATTTTTTTTTCTATATTCAAATGTTCATTTATATAGTTAAGACCCCGCCGAACGTGAATCGCGGTCAGAATTGATGGTTCTTTTTCTAATCTCAAAGTAACGGATCAATTATTGAAAATTTGGTCGACCATCTTGGATCCGCCATTTTTGCAAAATTGAAACCTATGTATACCAAATTTGGCGCGAATCTGTTATTTTTTTTAAATTTATCGGCCATCTTGGATCCGCCACCTTGAATTTTGCAAAATTGAGCTGGGATCCGTGATCAGCGACCCCGAAAACCTCCGTATGCCAAATTTGGCGCGAATCTGTTAATTTTTGAAAATTCGTGATATCTGACTGTTTTTTTTTTTTTTTTGAGGTTAAAAAAAAGAACGATCAATTCTGACCGCGGATTCACGTTGGGGTCTTAAACATATAAATGAACATTTGAATATGGAAAAATATTTTTTTGTATTTTTTCTAGCACTCTTTCGTAAATTTTTGCTATTTCTGACCTGTTTTTTGAGGTTAGGAAATTCCTGTGATGTGATAGCTCAATTCCGACACCAAATTCGAGATCAGGAGGCAAAAATACTACGGATAACATATGTCGCATGAAAAGTACAGACAACTTTTTTTTGTGCATGTAATTCATTGCAGCAGAATCAGATATTTTGCTACAGATTCTATTAGAACTGTGGTATAGTCTTTCCGAAGTCAGTTGAACATTATAAAAATGCCTAGCAATAAAATTTAATGAGTTTCATAGGCGTCCCTAAAAAAGTTTTCTGCTGAAGGTAAAAAGTTGTAACAATTTGTATATAATGTGTAGAAAGTTTCTATTATATGATCATTTAGCCAACAACATATTTTAATTATTTATCTCCTCAAACAATTTTATTATATCGATGATAAATCTCGTTTTGTTCCGGTTCAAAAGGTCTCAAAAATGCCATGTTGTAATAATATTGTTTCTCCCTTTCACAATTGTAATATCAATGATTAATAGAAGGTGCCTATAATACATTAAAATTACCTGAATCACACCAAATACCCCGAATCACACCAAATTCCCCATTGCTGCACTGCACTGCTAGGCAATTTGTCAACCACTTGTCAACAACTGAGATTTATTGCCCAATCGCCCAGTGCGGCTATGTTGTACGCCGTTTGCCCGCGCGCGCATTCTTCAACTGTTTAGTTCGACCAGACCTGTAGATGGATATGGCTAAATGAATATGGGAACAAGTTTTTCAAATATTTCAATGCCGAGTTGCTGCGTTAGCGACCGAACCTGGTACTT